TGACTATCATCTTTGTTGGGATCTGATCATGAGTTTTAGAAAGAGGTGGAAGGGATTTATAGAGCAACTATTTGCAAAGCTCTAGTAGTTCTATATAATCAACTGTTTTGTCATTGTTTTTAAAAAAGTAATTGTAATCAAATTCAAGTAGTTGAGCTATTTCATAATATTTAAGTTTGACTAGATCTGTAAATCTTAAACAGGTGACAAAGAGGGATGAATTCAAAATCCAATGCACTTTCTGCTTGGTAACATGATTAATATAGCCTATATAATGATGCTTTTTATAATTTTTATGAAACTTGTTTTCAAAAGATTCATATTCTTTCTGATAATTGCCTTTTAAATTCTCATTCTTGATAAATGATCTGAAAAAGATTCTGTCTCTTAATAGTATTTTTGTAAAAATTGCAAAGTATGGTTTTTGAGTGACTGATCCTTTAGGTTTGCTTTTAATATTTTTAAAAACTTTAATAATTTTTTGAGCTTTTAGCCAATGCTGGCTTAGCTAAGAGACTAGATCAATAATAATGTCATATTTATTGATAAAAGATTTGATGGTGTTGATTAGCGATGCTAGAGTTGTGTTGTCTATGAGATACTGTGAGCTTGGATTACTCTCTATTAGAAAATTGATGATTTTCTGTTCCTTGGAATTTACAGGCTCCAATGATGGTAAGTTCAATGCACTGTTTGAGATTGTGGAAAGGTTTGAAGAATTAATAAGATCTTTTATCAAACTTGATTAATCAATGGTTATAGATAGAACATTCGTGTTTTATGTGGAGGCACTTGATAAAAGTATAAGAGGAGCAGATATAATTTTCAAAAAGAAATTTTAAAGAATATTCAGATTGATTTGTACTTGTTTTTCAAATTCCATTAGTAAATCAGTATTCCTCAGTAAAATATTCTGATCCAATAGATTCATTGAGATGTTTGCATCTGACACGGGACTAGTTAGTCTGATAGTATTGCCAGATTTGTTCTGATTGGCTTTAGAGGTAATTGCAAATTGATAATCATTCACTTGTATCATGTCACCTGTGGCTTGTTGATCACTTGAGAGGTTTGTGTTTAATAATTTGTATGTTTATGCATCATTTGAATTTAGTATAACTGTAGCATATTGTTGATCAATTAATAGGGATAAGCTGCTTGGAGTTTTTTTAAGGATTTGAAATGTTGATTTTTTTCCTGCTGAGTTTGCAAGAGAGTTTTGATTTGGGATTTCTGGTTTGTCCTCTTGAACTGAAGTGTTGGGTAGTGAATATATTGATGCATTTTGTATTCTTTCAAGGATGAATTTGTTTCCATTATTTATTATATTGATTTGGTTCCAGAAGAAATGAGAAATATAGTTGAGGTTGCTGTCTAGTATCTTATTTATAATGGTCTTTCTTATGCTTAAGGCAAGATTATTCCTCTCCTGATAGAGAAAAAATTCTTTGAGATTGTTTTGGGTATTGCTTTTCATATTGTTGATAGAAAGTGAGGCTGTTGTATATAGATGTAAGGAGGAGTTGGAGTTGATTGCTATATATTTGAAACCAATAAAGACAATGTCTACTTGTAAGGAATTATTATTGTTGCTTGGGTTTTGAAGAGAAACAATTCAAAACTTGGGAAAGTTAGTTAAAAGAATAATGGATATATGTTTTGCTGACTCAGTGATGTGGATATTGCTTGAATTGTTTTTCTTATAAATTACAGAAAAGAGATATTTATTTGGATTTACTATAATGATATCCAAGAGAATATGGGATAAGGTTGTTGGTTTGTCCTTGGATGTTGGGCTCCCAAGAACACTTGTTATTTTTTTCCTTCTTAAAATTTTGCCTGTTACTATAAAAGAAAATTTTTTTGAGAAAAATAATTTACGGGAAAGAGTTTTTTTTGTATTTGTTTTGTGAGCTAAATATAATACATATACAACTTTATTAATTATTTATAGATTATATAGTTATTATATAAACAATTTATTTTAAGTAAACTGATATTATCCATTTATTTTTATTCAAATACTAACTTATATTTCATGGATATGATTTTAAAAATTGGAATTATATAAATTCATATATATATATAAAATATAAGTGGATTATACTTATCTATTAAATTTACTATAAGAGCTGAAATCGAATGGAATCAAATACTGAATTATTAGGATCTTTACTTGTAAATGGATTCATATTCAGGTTTATGTTATATCTTTTTACTTGTAAATATAGAGTAAGAAAAATTTTATTTAACAGTTGAAAAATTTTTCTAGTAATCTTCTTTTTAATTTTAATAACTCTATTCTTTTCTAGGAATGAATTACTGATCCAAATTATACATGTGTTCATATTACTATAAAAGGAAATTTGATTTACAATACAATCTAAATTAAATACAAATTCCAATTAATTATTTAGTAATTCTACCATAATATAATTTTTGAAAATAGTTAAATTAAATTCTACTACATGTATAATTTAGATTGTACTAATATTAAATAAAATAATAAAGATTCAATTGAGTTTTAAAGTTAATTGATTTAGTTTGAGGTACTAATTAATTGAATATAACTTATTTAAAAAGTCAATCAATTTAAATAAAAAAATAATACTATAAAGTCTGTTATATTAGGAGATTATAGATTTTTATTGAAATTAGATCAAAAGTTTTTCCTTATATAATCTTTTCTGCTTTAACCTGTTTTTAGCCCATGATTATCAAAAAAACCAGAGGTTCTATCTTTATACAATCTAATTAAATTTGATTAGGATTTGAATATTTAAATATAATATTTATAAAAAAACTAGTAAACCTATAAATAAAGAATAATTTATGTATTTTGTTTTTTATAGATATTGAATTAAAGACATATATTTAAAGATTAGAGAGCACTACCCATTGTACTATTAATCTATTGGTTTCAAAATCTAAAATTTATATTTTAATAATATTGTTATTATATATTAAAAAAATATTTTAATTGAAAAACTTCTTAATAATTTCAAGATCTAAATTACTTAAACAAATTTATTATTATTATTTATAATTATATAAATTATAATATTTAATTTTTACTATTTTATTAATATTTAAAAATATTTAAAAACTTATAAAATAATATATTTCTTTAAGAAACTTATACTTTATTATTATAAATATTTATTATTTAATAGTTTTTTTTTTGAAAATAAATAACAATTAATAATATTTTTTGAATTAAATCAATATATTTTTTTAAGTAATAAAAAAAAATTAATAAAAAAATATTTAAATTAATATAAATAAAAAATATATCTTATCAATTTTTTTAATTATTTTTAATTATTATAAGATATAAAAAAATAAAAAAACTTAATATTTTTATTATTTTTAAAACATGTTTTATAATAAATACAAAGTTTTTATAAAACTTAAAAAATATGTTTATTGTATATTTTTTTGTTTATCTATATATATATATTTATTTATAACTATTGTTTAATTCAGAATTAAATTAAAAAAAAAAATTTTTTTAAATATCTAAAAACAAAAGTTTGTTATAATTTTTAAATTATAATATGGATTTATTTGTTTTGAAAATAAAATAATAATAAATTAAAAAAATTATTTTTTAAAAAATATTTTTTCTGTTATAAAAATTTTTAAATATTTTAAATTCTTTAATTAAAATAATAATATTAATTAAAAAATAAAAAAACCCAAATAATTGAAAGTTAGTAAACAGAAATTATTTTATTTAATATAATATTTAAGAAGAATATATGAACTATATTAACAAAAAAATAAAAAATAATTGTTAAATATTATTTTAAAATAAAATAATTAGAAAATCAATAAAAAAGGTAATATATATTAATGATTATAAAAATAATATAAAAAATAATATGTATTAATAAATTAATATAAAAAATATTAAAATAAAATAATGTTTTTGATATTGTTATATTTTTACAAATACAAAAAATTTGTATATTATGATTAAATTTGTGAATTATAAAAGTATCAATTTATATTTTAAACAAATTTGATTTTGTTTACTTATTTAATTTTTATTTAATTGTTAATTTGACAAATATTAAATTTTATTTTAAATTTAAAAATAATAAAATTTTAGATTAATCAAATTTTTATAATTATTACTTCTTATTTTTTTTTAAATCATAAAATATAAAATAAAAATTTAACAAAATAAATAAAATATGTAATAAAATATGATAAAATAAATAAATAATAATTTTATTAATGAAATATTAAAAAATATTAATTATAATATAGTAAAATTCGAATATTAATTTATTGACAAATATAATATATCAAATTATTTATTGATTTTATATACAGTATATTAATTTATAATTAAAATTTATTTTATGAATTTGATATATTTAATAAATTATCTTATTTACTTTTTGTTATATAATTAATTAGGAAAAATAAATTATTTTAACTAGTGATATTTAATTTTTACTTTTATCAAAATATAATCAATAACTACTGTATATTACATTTAAATTATTTTTTTGTTAATAAAAATTTTATTTTATGCAAATCTAATACTTTTTATAATGTAATGTTGATTTTTTATTATATTTTATGAATAGATACAATGATTTTAAAAAAATTCTGTTGATTTTTTTTTTTTTTGATTAAAACAAGTGTTTGAAAAATAAAATGACTAAATTAAAATAAGGTCGTTCCGACCATAACCCGGTCAAGCCGAATTCACCCCGCAAAATTTCGACGTAGTAGACAATGGTACTTCCGCATATGGTACACTGGCAATGCATTACTCCTATATCAAGCTTAATTTAGCTACATTACGTCATTTTCTCTTGGGCGACAAGAGTTTGCATGCTTATTTTGGAAATGAGCTTCAATGGTATGTCATTATGCATTGATCTACGGAGGTTTCTTTTTTCAAAAGGCAGAATTTTTTCTTTGTGAATCGACTCAATGAATTTGAACCTAAAAAGCCTCGCATTTTTTTTTTTTCAACAGATTCACAATGAACGTTCACACACTGAAACACCACAAAATGTAACAATTAGATTCGAAACAACGTTGGAAAATGCGATGAGACCTTCTATTTGCGTGTTTTTAACAGAATGACGGGATAGGTTCAGCGAGGACCGTAGAAATTTTCCGGACATGACCTTGAACATGCTCGAGTGACGTTTGTTCCTTGAACTTTTCATTGTGTTTCCTTGTTCGGGAGGCGCATAGTAAAGGAAGCACGCACGTGGTGCAATGAATCTATTTTAGGTAGTTTGTTGT